CATTACTAGTAAAGGGCGCCGTACGGGCCCTAATATACTTTTCCTTTATTTATTCTACCGTTTATTTATTTTCCTTACCGTATAAAGTTTTCTATTTTAGTGTTTTCCTTTCCCTTTTTTCCTTTAATAGCTACTACTTTTTTAATTTTATTGCCTACGAACACTACCAATATTATCTCTTTTTAAACCAAGGAATTTATAGTTTACTATTCTTTATCAATTATTCTTTTATTTTTCTATCATTATTCTTTCATTATTCGTCTATTTTAAACACTTGAATAAGACCCTATAATAAAACTTAAATCATTATTATTTAGTTCGTTATCTCTCGTCTTTCTTTTCCTTCCCTAATTTAAGTATATTAAATCTAACTGAAATTAATTTATTTACAGTGCAAATATATTTAATTAATCTTTATAATAGTAAATTTAATATTTAATCCGTACAAATAACGCCTGATCCGCATCGCTACAACGGATTCGTTCGATTTTACTAATAGTATCGGCCAAAACTTTATAGCTAATATAGTATAATAAAATAAAGAAATATTAGACGCTACACACTATAAAATACCAAACGTAATTAAAGACGATAAAAACCGAATTATTTTCAATTATAATATTTATATTAAAAATACTATAGATAAGTATATATTAGTAGTATTCGGCAATAATTTAATTGTCTAATTATTATACTAAGTTATTAACTTTATTTTAACCTTTATTATACTATACCGAAAGTAGGCTAAATATTTCTATTATTTCGTTCGCTACTAAGCTTAGGCCTAAGTCGAATACTCCCTTAGAAGATAAATTCAATAGTAGAGGATGTTTAGGATCCTACGTTTCCATAAATTTAAATTATAGCCCTATAATTAGGAATTAGACGAAGCCTCTTAAATAATTCGGTATTTATTAACCCGTAAGTATTAGACCCTATACTTAAAAATTACCTTAAGTTTCATATTAAAAAAGGATAGTAAAATTATAAAAGTAAATACTATTCTCTTCTCTTTAATCGCCGGTACAAACATAATAATCGATTTATTACCCGCTATTATTTTCTAAGAAATAGACTTTACCCCTATTTCTATATATAAATTTAAATATAATATAATATTTAACCCGAAGGGTATTAATAATAGTTAGTAGGTTTAGTATTTTAATAGTTAATAAATTTAAACCTTTACGGGCCCTTAAATTGTATTATATGAACGAAATATCGATATTATTTGAATAAACCCTACGGTATAGCGCTTTATCCTATATAATCTTTTACAATATTTGAGAGAGAGTATAAAGATTATAGCTTTTAAGGGCGAGCGGAATAAATTTATTTACTATTCGGCCCTCGCCCCTCTATTCGGAGCTATTATTATAATATAGGACGGTTAACCGATTTTTACTAATAATAACTAGGATATTATAAAAGTTCTTATTATTACTTATAATAACGAATATATTTAAAACAAACTCTTCTATAACGAATTTAATTATATTAATAATATAAACTTAGAAGTCTTTAAAGACGAAGATACCGAGCGAATAATTAAGGTAAGGCCTATTAACGTCGAAGGTAATAATATTATTAATTATTATATTGTAAGTAAACGGTTCTAAATTGAATTGGGAGTATTAGTATATTATTATAAAGGAATTATATAGGAATTCTTCAATGAAGGTAAACGAGAGTTTATTACTTTTTATACTGAAGTCGATTATATTAAGGCGATTTACTATAATAATAAGGCATTCTACTTTAAATTACTAATTATTAAAAAGATAAATATTTACATTTATTCCACTTTAATAGCAACGACGGAGGATAGGAAAAGTTCCTACCTCCCTACGTATAAATCCTAGCTTACCGAATAGTAAACGCGTCTAATACTTTAATTAAATAATTTATTAGAATTTTAAATTATTTCTACTATTTATATTTAATTAAAATAAATCTATTAGACTTTAATGGATCTACCGCTCGTATTTAAGAGTCGTAGGAGCGAATATAGGAATAGAAATTCCGCTAAAAAATAAATAAACTCGAAGAGAAAATACTTAATAATTAAATTTAGTATTTAGAGTATATTAATACCTATTTACACCGCTTCGAAGATTTCGTTAAAGAATTAAGTATAGAGGTATTAACCAATTACGTACGTAATTTCGCTATTATTATAAAGGGTTTAGAGGCCTAATTATTTTATATTACCCCTATTATTAATTTTACTTATAAAGTCCGGTTCGATATATTATTATTATTTACTATTATAATGGATAAATTAAATAACCCTACAATCTACAATATTTCGACGCTTAATATGAGAGGAGGATATTATTTAATCTGTATAATTATAGTTATAGGCCCGGATTCTAAGGAAGAAATAGATTAGGAAACTATATCCCCGGCTATTAATTCTCCTTCCGTAGGTTAATAATAATATAAATATCGCCAATCTAATAATCCGGCCGGCGTTAATTAATTTATTACTTCCCGTCGGGGTCGTAGCAGTTTCAGAACTATCGGTAATAGTAGGTCGGGTATAAGTTATACTAAATAGATACTACGCTATAGAAAATACAGTATTTAAATACTGATATAATTAATTAATAGTGTACTAGAATATTTACTTAATTAAATTAATAATTAAGGTAGGATTATATTAAGCAATCTCGAGAGTTGAGTATAGTAGGATAGAAGTAGATTATTGGGTATAATAAAATACTTAGTAATTTGAAGGGGAGTAACGATTCCGGCTTTAGATTAAAGATACTTCTAGCGTATATATACCTAATTAAATAAATTAATCTAACTGACTGTTAATTATCTCCTAATACCCCGGGAAATATTATAATACAGTTAATAATTAGACTAAAATATATTAACGTTTAACTATACTATAATTAATATAATTAGGCACTAATATAACTCTAAGTAATTAAAATAGTTAAAAATGGATCTATCTCCCTTAAGACAAATTCTTCCTTCAATTAATTATTATTTATAATTAGAAGTTCTTACTTAGTAATACTATTTATTAATACAAATCCTAGGTTATAATTAATTGTAATTCCTTAAAACGAATTTATTACTTAGTAACGAATTTACTACGTATTAATCCCTTTAACGAATCCGTCACCTACCGGATTCTTCTCTCAAAACGAATCCGTTAGTAACAAATCCGTTATAAAGTAGTATAGTAACTACAGTTTCAACTCCCCGTAATACCGTAGTAGTAGTATAATAGTTAATTTGAATATAGGGTAGGTAAAATACTTTCTTTCGGCCAAGTTAGCCAACTTTTCTTATATATATAAGTAGTATAATAATTAATTTAAATATAGGGTAGGTAAAACACTTTCTCTCGGCCAAGTTGGTTAACTTTTCTTATATATATAAGTAGTATAATAGTTAATTTGAATGTAGAGTAGGTAAAATACTTTCTCTTAGCCAAGTTGGCTAACTTTTCTTATATATATAAGTAGTATAATAGTTAATTTAAATATAGGGTAGGTAAGACACTTTCTCTCGGCCAAGTTGGCCAACTTTTCTTATATATATATAAGTAGTATAATAGTTAATTTAAATGCAGGGTAGGTAAGACACTTTCTCTTAGCTAAGTTAGCCAACTTTTCTTATATATATAAGTAGTATAATAGTTAATTTAAATACAGGGTAGGTAAAGCACTTTCTCTCAGCCAAGTTAGCTAACTTTTTATATATATATATAAGTAGTATAATAGTTAATTTAAATATAAGGTAGGTAAAGTAGTTTCTTTCAATTAAGTTAGTTAATATATATATAATATAAAAGTTAATTTATATATTTAAATAGTAAAAATAAATATATAAAATATTAGGAACTTTCTTAATACTTATTAGTAAAACTAAGTAATTAAAATTAAAAATAAATAAAACTTAAAAAGAAAAGTATTTTTATAAAAACTTCTAAAACTATTTCTTATTATTATTAATATAATTTAAATACGTACTTATATAACTTTCTTTATTATATTTTATATATTTTAGTAAAAAAAAAGTATACGAAAAGATAATATAATAATATTATATATATATATAGCTCTAAAATAATAAAAGTCTAAGTTTCTTAAAAAAAAAGAAAAAAAAAGAAACTATAACATAAATCGAACCTACAACCTCAACACCAAGCAGCCAATATATTAACCACTACACCACAGCCAATAAAAAACGTTATTACTCATCTTATCTATATACTCCTCCTATACTAACTTTACTAAACTCTTTCCACCTCTTATCTTTTTCAAAATCTTATCTTTATCCTTTATTACTACCCTTATTTCATCCTTATCTCTTATTACTACCCTTATCTTATCTTCCTTATTACCCAATACGTCCGTCCACCGTACGAAAATTTTTAAGAATGCAAAGATAAAATAAACGTGTTATATGCTACTAAAGATAGAAAAGGCTAGATTTTTAGATCTTAACCCTTTGTAGTAGTTAGTGTACGAGAATAGTTATATTACGCCTTACGCACGCGCTAGCGTACGTAAGTCTGACCTACGCTTGGCGTAGGTGGATTCAAAAGGTACGTCTCATCTTATCTTCCGGATACCTAATACTGTTGCGACGATATAAAGAGATGGATTGGCTGGGGCTAGGTAGTATGGGGGACTAATTGCGCGCGCACAGCCCCTGGCGAAGAACCCCTCGGGCCCCTTCCACGGAGATCAAGTTGGATTACCCTACCTGCCAACCCTGTTGGGCATCCCATACCTCTAGGCATGGCACATTTTTTTTACACTTCTTTCTTCTCACCCCGTCGCAATCCTAAGTATTGGAGACGAGATCATACCTTTTCTCTTTTATTTTCTTATTTCTGTGTGTCTTTGACTGAGTACGATAAAAAAACGTCTTTGATACTGCTTCTATTCTCTGATTCAGCATGTTGGTTGGACATCTCGAGGACTGGACTGTATCGCATATCCTATCTTGCATCAGCACTAAGGTATCGAGCGATGTCTTTGCGACTTATACCCAAGGGCACCTTCCAACCCGTGATACCCCGCCGACCAAGTACTAGTAGTTTCTACCTTACCACTGTTCAGCCCCTCCCGGCACATTGTACGCTACAATACTGTACCGTATTTATACCAAGAGTACGTATCGCAGCGGTTTGAAGCAGTTGGTTGCGGACACCCGACGTCGAAATCAAACGAACTCTTCCACTTTCTTCCTGTTGCAACAACCAACCACCCTGCTATAGCAAGTACATACATCGATATGTAAGGCAGCGAGAAAGGTGATCGTAACGTGCAAGGCAAGGCACATTTCCCGTCTTACGGCGGCACTGCAGTCCGCAGCGGCTATTACTAGATAGATGACGTCCATCCCGTCCTTGTCAAGTCGCGCGCGAAATCAAGCTCTCTCTCTTTTTTTTTTTTTTTTCGTTCGACTTCTTTCTTCCACTTCTCATTGTGAGTAACTCGACAGACACGAGGGATTCTCGCGATCCCACTGGCGAACCACCCGACACCTACTAAACTTGCGACCAAAGCATAACGATCACCTCTTATTTCCTTATCACGAGCCCAAGACCCTTGCCCAATCTTTAGGCCCTTAGAACCCCCGCCCAACTGGTGTTTTGAACAACGACAGCAACCCATTACAGTATCCATACCGGCATTGTCATTTGTTTGGTTCGATTCTCGCCCGCATACTGCCAGTACCAGCGATTGCGTTACACTTCTAGAACAACAAGAAGACCACGGGCATTTCTCTCCAGGTTAGTCATAAGCTATCGTTATTGCATGGCGCGGATTTGCAATCACAGGCGCGGCGTGCTTTTGATGCTTCACGTTTCTTGGCCTGAAAATCCGCCACTGCGCGATCCGTCCAAACGCATCCAGCATCTTCGTTACTAGCCAGGGGGGAGCATCAGATGAAGGACCGGCGACGAACGCTCACTGGCGCAAACAACACACTCGATTGCCGCAGCGAATTCGGTTCACTTGGGTTTGGATATCGATGCGCACGACACACAACGAGCTCAGGCGACAGTCGGCGGCCTCGATCTTCCTCCGTTGCCCCATCAACTTGTTGCACCCTTCTATGCCATGTTACTGGGCGACGAATCAGTCGCGTTTCGTCACCTGAACCTGTTTTGATGACCCAATGCCCCAAGGCATCAGGAGCTAACATGGGACTTGTCAGAGGCAGGGCAGTGAGATTTTGAGACCTTTTTGCACTCCACTACTGCCGCCGTCGCATCGCATTTTGGGCCTTCCCCACAGCCATCAACCTCTCCTTCCGACTCCTGTCTTCACTATTAACGACAACAACTTTTGCAAGTTCGCGCACTCCAGCCGCTGTATTTCCTCACCACCAACCGATCACGACTTCGTCTTCATACCGCGCTCCGGCCCGTGTACGATAGATAGCCTGCCTTCTACATACCAACAATGAACGGATCGCAACAAGCCAAAGACAGTACGGCGCAAACCTCGGCTCAAGCAGCTTTATCCCCCGCGGCGACTGCCTCCAACGGCAATCTGAACAAAAACAGCAGCAACAGTACGAATAACAAGAGGAAGAAGGACGGGTTGAAGCCCATCATTACCACAGACGGTCCCGGGTAGGTGCATTGCGCTTCCTTTCATGCATATATTTCGGCCTCTTTTTTGTTCCTTTACTTTTGTTATTTGTTTCCCCCCCCCCCCC